GAAGACCTGTAACTCTCCTGGACGGCCTGAGGCAGGAACAGACTGACCACGGCCCCCATGATGCAGGCCTTGAAGGCCTCTGGCTTTGGAGCCCCCACATGGTCAGTATGAGGGACCCAGTCCTGTGAGGGGAGCTGAAGACACTGAGGACGTGCCCGGTTAAGTCAGTGATTAAATGAATACAGAAATGCCTGAAATACTTGCCATGTGAACATTGTCATGAGCTGCGCTCGGCCCCCAGGGAGAGCCAGGAAGGGCAGGTGAGCAGGACGGAGGCAGGCCTGGTGCCAGGAGGACTTCCTGGTTTGGAGGGACAGCTGTGTCCCCGGCAGGTAGCAGCAACCCAGGCGACCCCTGCCTGCTGAAGCAATCAGATTGTCCTTCCTTTCAAGATTGGATAGATTGTGGTACTTCCCCTGGTCCTGTCCTGTCCTCTCCGGGTCCCCAGGTGGGACAGGGGCTCTCAGGTGCCTGAGGAGGAAGGGGACAGGCTGGGGAAGTGCTGTCTTGGTGGCAGGGACAGTGGAACTCACCAAACAATCCTTGCCTCCGGCGTTCTCTAGTCCCTGGCAGTAACCAGGGCCCTGTCACTAGTGTGGCCACAAAACATAACACGGATCACACTACTCCTGAAGTGACAAGTGGAACCCACACGTGGTGCTCCTGGCCCCTGGCCTCTGTGGGGCCGAGAGCCGGTGAGAACATGTGGGTTCCGTGGGGCGCAGCTGCGAGTTGGTGGAGCCTCCACCCCGTTGCCAGGACCCCATGCTTCCTGTGTCATGGGACACGTGCCATGGGACAGACACACGCTGTTCTCAGACCCCAGGTGTTGTCATGGTTACCGCAGCACTGCCCAGTGCAGCCTGACCACTACTCTGCCTAGAAAGGGGGAAGAGACCAGCTTCCTTATTGTCACGGTGATTCCTGCTGTGAGCCCCGCTACCCCAGACTTAGGGCCTGAAACGCCTCCCTGTGCAGTGTCAGGGTTTCTGTTAGGCAGGACCCCCGCTGTTCCGCGGGCTCCTCTGGCTCAGGGTCTCTCAGACAGAAACCAGGACTTTGGCTGGGGCTTGAGGGTCAGGGGAGGGGTCTGCTGCCAGCTATCACGGTTGCTGGTGGAATGCACTCCCTGTGGCTGCTGGCCCAGGTACCTGCCCCTTCCTTGTGGTGGCCAAGGCTGCTCACAGCTCTGTGGCACTCCATTCCTTATAAGCCAGTCCCAGGTGCGGCCACACTCCAGGGGAGGGGTCACACAGGGGGAGCCTGTCTAGAATCTGCCTCCTACAGATGCGCTTCTCACTAACAGGAGATGTCCTGGGCACCCGCAGTCCATGAACTCGTTACCTCACTTGTCACCGTGAGGCAGGGAGGGGTCTGCAGGTCTGCAGGTGGCCGAGTGGCCTGCCCAGGGCTGCACCAGCTACAGCAGGACTTGATTCCGAATGTTCACATTCGCTGCCCCAGGCCACCTCCTGAGACTCCAGGGAGAGCCCTGGTGACTTCTCCGGAGGATGGGTGGTGTGGGTCTCCCTTCATCCCTCACGTCTCCCTTTTCCGATGCCCTAGGCGTCTGTGGCACTGGGCCCCTGAGTTCTGGAGGTGCGGATTCCAGAGCCCATGTCTCTCTGAAGAGGGTCCAAGGAGACTTCGTGTTGTTCCACGTGACTCGGGAGCTGGTAGGAGACACAGAAGCTCAGCTGGAGCAGATGGTGTGGGGCTTTGGCCCTGATACCAACTACACAGTCCTGCTGCAAGTGGTCAGGGGTGGGGACCTGCCAACTTTGATCAGCCTCCAGGACAAGTACAGGCACAGGGTCCATGCGCCCAATATGACATCCCTGCTCATTGTGAACCTGACCTGTGAGGACAGTGGGCAGTACCGGGCTCGAGGCAGCTTTACTGATGGAAGGGGATTTACCCAGGTGTTCCAGCTCACTGTCTATGGTAGGTGACACCTCTCACCCCCTCCCAGGGCCACCTCCTTTTCTGGTCCCCACGAGTGTCACATAGGCCCTCCTACAGGGACTCCTTCCAGACCCAGCCTGTCTCTCTTAGCTCCTGGGAAGTCTGGTGAGAGTTCAGCACAAGCGCAGAGCAGACCTGACATTCACACCTGAGCTAGAGTCACTGCAGTGTTTGGGGACAGGAAGACAGAACCTGGGAGGGGATTATCACCACAACACTTCTGTCTCTTTAGAGCAATCAGTGCAGCCATACGTCATTGGTGAGTTAGTTTCCTGTGCTGCTGTCACAAAGCTCTGTGCTTAGATCCACACAGACTCTTTATCTCACTGGCCATAGGTGAGAGGTCACACACTGAGCTGGGGGCAGGGTGTCCGCAGGGCTGGTGTCCTTCTGCGGGCTCTGGGGACAAACACTGCCCTCCCCGCCTCCCAGTGGCGCCCGCGTCCCTGCATGGGGACCACCCTCCCCGCCTCCCAGTGGCACCTGCATCCCTGCATGGGTGCCTCCCTCTCCGCCTCCCAGTGGCACCCACGTCCCTGCATGGGGGCCACCCTCCCCGCCTCCCAGGCCAGCAGTGCTGGGTCTCGTCCTTCTCACGCTGCCACCATCTGAACTCTCTCCTTCGGTTTCCACTTTGAAGGACCTGAGCTCACACTGGCCCCACCCAGACTCTCCTCAAGAGCCTCCTTATTGTCCTGCAGTTGATTAGCAATGGTAATTCTGTTCCCTTATTCTCCTTGCGAGTCATCCAACGTGCTCACAGGATTTCACAGTTACCACGTGGACATCGTGGGGGCCGCTGCTCGGCCCACCACAGTCTGGAAACCCACGTGTAGGCAGGTGCTCCCTGACCCGCCCGCGCTCACCCAGCACCTGGCTGAGGCCTCACTCAACGACACCCCACACATCCAGCTCAGAAAGCCTCCGGACATGCCGGGGACAGGTCACGCTGCCACACTTCTTAGGCTCATCAGGCCACTTCTTTCCTTCCCTAGAGAACCTCTCTGCATAGGGGACGTCCTGCTGCAGCCAGTGGCTTCTGCAGCTTTAAGTCCCCATAGGATTCTGTCACTTGGCTTCCTGTGTGGACCTCAAGTTCAGAGGCCTGTGCTAACCACGCTCACAACGGCCCTTCCTCGTCACTATCACCGCCTTTCCCACAAATGTCTCTTTGCAGGAGCATGGGCCTTTCTCTGGGCTCCCAGAGCTGGCGGCTTCCTCTCTCCCTGGGCCGAGCCGTCCCACGGGGCCTCAGCAGGAGACGCGGAGCACGGCCCTGGCCTGGGCTGTTCCTCCTGTGCCAGACTCTGCACCTCCCAGGAAACACCCCAACTTCTGAGAAATGATGGGCCTTGAGTTGGTGGGGTCCAGGCTTTATTTTCTTGAGGGAGATTTTTAAGACTTGCTCAGTCTGGTGGAATCACATTGGGCTTCACCCCATGGCTCCTTCCTTTTGATTGCTTGCGGTGGATTTTGGCCAATTCTGTTTCACCTGGAAAGTGCTCTCGCCTCCTCAGTGGGAGGACGCCAGCGCTCGGTGAGACTGGGTGAGAACCTGCACTGTGAAGGCCCCCACCTGAGCCTTCTGTCTCCCCTCCCCTCCACCACAGAGCCGGTGCCCCTCCCCCAGATCCTGCCCAAGTCACTGTCTGTCACAGCAGACTGGTGCAACGTCACCCTGGAGTGCACAGCCGTGGGGGCCTCAGAGGACCTGAATGTGACCTGGTGGCACAGTGACCTCCCCAGGAAGTGGCAGCAGGCAGGGACCCTGGGACCAGTCCCCAGCATCTGGCCCCTGGCTGTGCGCCTGCCCCTGGACCAGGCCAACACCAGCCTCACCTGCAACGCCAGCAACCAGGTGGACCTGAAATCTGCCACCACCACGCTGGGGGACGTCTGTGCCCATCGTGAGTATAACGTGCCTGGGGAAAGGTAGCACTGCGGTCCCTGCAGGCTGACAGCACACCTCCCACCTGGTCACACACACAGATCGGCTGGGAGTCACACCCAACTCGTGTCTGTATTTAAATGTCTCTCACCATCGTGCCCTCCTCTGCACCCTGGGCCCTGCTGACCCAGGAGGAAGCCTTCCTCCCACCCCCGCCATCACCCAGAGCCGTCTTCTGGACACATAACCTGGATTGTGTCATTTCCTGTGTCGTCTGTGGGATTGGTCTCCAGGGGCTCCCTGTGGGATTCCCTAGGGGGACGCCCCCCCAACCATGTTTCTGACCTCATTCACACCCCACCCCGCACACCCAATGCTTCCCGATACATCTCGCCTTTGCAGGCTGTGAGCTCCAAACAGTCTGTGCCTCCACCATCCGCCATCTCACACGAATCCTCCATTTCTTGTCGTATTTTATTGAATGTTTCCCTCAGGTGCGGCTGACTTTGTGATCATGTGACCCATGCTGTCACACTGGGCCCCTCGCTGGGTTTCAAGCTTTTCATGAATTTGTACAAAGGGCTCCCGGTCTTGTTTGCCCGGGGCCATGTGACTACTGTCCTTGCCCTGCCCTCAGGTGTCACCTCCTTCCAGGAGCGGTCCATGTCCCCCACACTGGTGGCAGTGCTGTCTCTGTGATGGATGTGTGTCCCTTATAGCCCAGACACCTTGTCCTCCTTTGGCTCCATGTGCCAAGCAGGGCTTTTAGACAAGTTTGCTCACAGCTGGTGTTGCACTGAATGAGTGACTCACCTGTGCCCCTGTGTGCAGCCTCGGCATTGAACCCATCCCCCACCCGCTGAGGGGTCAGACGTGTCAGCATCACGTAAAACCCATCACCCTCTCCTCCCACCACAATGTGATGTCCCAGGTGAAGTTCAACTCTCAGCATGACCCACAAGACCCCCAATCATTCCTGCCCCATCCCTGTCCTGCCAGCCCCAGGGGTGCTGGCAACTCCCAGGGGCTGGCCTTCTCAAAGGCGCCCCCTTCCTGGAGTGTCATAACCACCCAAAGTGTCTGGGAAACTCCTACGACTCCCTCCAGACTCAGGTTACCCATCACCACATCCGGTATTTCCTGTCCTCCCTCCTGGGTGACGAGCTCCTCGGGGCAACACCATCCTTGTCATCTCTCTGTACCTGCCATGCTGCTCCGTCCTCGGCACTGAACCAGGACCCTGCAGACTTCCCCACCTGCTCTGTCTCTCTCTTCCCTGGGCAGTGGGTACCTCACGTTCTCTCTTGTCTTACCCTTCCTCACTCTCTTTGTGCGAGGGGAGCAGATACACAGGGACAGCCCACTCGTCACCACCTGCTAGGCATTGTAGTTGCTGTCCCGGCTGTGCTGCTGATTGTGGGAGTCGGGCTGTACCTGTGGAAGACACGTGGGAAGAAGAAGGAGGAGACGGAGACGGGAACAGGTAGGTTGCGGTTCCCCTTTAGGCCCAGAACCCTCCGCACAGTGCCCCTGGCTCCCTTTGTCCCTTTGTCCCTGCACAGGGTGGTGGTGTGGCCCTGGCCTTGGAGGTCACGGCAGTGGGGGGTGTACAGGTTTCTGAGGCTCAGAGTCGAGCTTTATTTTGTGTGTGACTCAGGTGCGGGATTGGAGGAGGGCCGGCGGGACCATGAGGATGACATCCACCATGTAGAGCTGAGAAAACAAGAGCCCAAGGAGGGCGGGGACAAGGTGAGAGCTGGGAGCTGTGGCACCTGGGCTCCCCAGGTCCCTCTGTGCCCCCGTCGGGCTTGTCAAACCCGGTCATCTTCCCTTTCTGGCCCCTCTGCCTCCTTACCTCCTTCTGGCGAGTTCACATCACAGTAAGAACGTTTACAGGGGACCCGTGTTGTGCGGGCCCTTTGGGAGACGCTTCCACAGTCATGTCAGCAGCACTGCTTCCACGCAGGCCCCTGGGGACCCCTCAGCTGCTCCAGGTGACCCGTGTCTTACACTCCTAGGGCATCCGTGGACAACATCTGGAAGGAAAGAGTCCTGTCACTACTATCTACAGTGAGGTCCACAGGCCAGGCCCGCCTGAGAAGGTCATTTAAGTGGAAGCAGCAGGAGAAGGCAGCACTCCCAGGCTGCCTCCGTTCCCAGCAGGACGCCTGCAGACCTGTCCTCTCCCAGCTCTGCTCCAGCTCCAGCTGCCTGGTCAGTGTTATTGACACTTGTGCCCTCAGCTCCCTGGTCACACAGGACCAATGTCACCTGTGCCACTTTTTCTGCTGGTAAAACGGGGTCTCTGGGGATGTGGGCACCCCCACTGCTGGGTGGGCCAAGGTCACTGGGCGGCCACCACAGAAACGCCACAGAGGTACAGAGACATGGCTTGCAGGCGCTGTGTGCTTCCTGCAGCCTCTGGTTCGGTCACCACCCCACTTCCTGGGTCCTCCAGTCATGGGTCATGCCGCCGCTGCTCCGATGGTTCTGCCACGTCCACGAGTTCAGTCCACCGCCTTCAGATGTACTGATGGATGGCTNCTCGTGCTCTTACTCCTGTAAGAGTTAAATTTCCTGATTGTTGTATCATTCATTACATGGATGATATTCTTTGTGCTGCATCATCTATGAAACAATTGGCGGCTTGCTTTGAAGCACTTAAAATCCATTTAAAACAAACAGGACTTAATATTGCCCCTGATAAAATTCAAACAACCACTCCAGTTAAATATTTAGGAACCATTGTTGATCGACAGACTATTAAACCACAAAAAGTTCAAATTAGAAAAGATCAGGTTTCAACCTTAAATAACTTACAGAAATTGTTAGGAGATATTAATTGGCTACGCCCAACCTTAGGAATTCCAACCTATACTCTCAGTAATCTGTTTAGCCTTTTACTAGGACCATCTCAGCTAAATAGCCCTCATGAATTGACTCCGCAGGCTATAAAAGAATTAGAACTTGTAGAACAAAAAATACAAGAAGCTCAGACCCAGCACATTGATCCTTATCAACCTTTACAGGTTCTGTTTTTTTCTACACCACATTCCTCAACAGCAGTTATAATTCAGCAAGAGAAACTGGTTGAGTGGCTTTTTCTACCTAATAATTTTGTTAAAACACTCCCGACTTATGTAGAATTAATTTCAAAATTAATATCCAAGACTCGTACCCGTGTCCTGCACCTTTGTGGACAAGAGCCTTATCAGATCGTAGTTCCCTTTAAGAAACAACAGATTAGTCATCTGAACACTCATAATGAGTCTTGGCAAATTACCCATAATACTGGCATTCCTTACAACCCACAAGGACAAGCCATTGTTGAACATGCTAATTCTACCTTAAAGAAACAATTAAATAAACAGAAAGGGGGAGACACAAAGGAGCCACCTTAAGTGTAATTAGCAAAAGCCATGTTTACTTTAAAAATTTTGAACTCATATATGTATTGGCTCTGTTACACCATGTCTCTCTCTCACAGAGCAAACTTGAACTACTCCAAGTGGAAAAGAAAATAATACCTTTAAAGATTTATGATTTCTGGTAAAGGATTTGTCACCCAACAATCAAGTACCCATAGTTTTCCACCTTCCATTCCTACTTGCCCTCTTATTAATTCTTGGGACAAAAATCAATCTAAAATTCATTGGGATGAATGTCGTGGAACCTTAGATAGAATAATTATTAATAATATTTTGGAAACAATTATTGATTGGGGACCCTTTGGTCCTGCTCTTCAAGTCTGTAACATTAAATAATGTTCAGAACCACAACAATTAAAAGATCAAATAATTGGAAATAATTTATCTAAAATTGTTAAGACTCCTTTTAATATTTTATGGAAGGGAAGAGTTTTGGCTCCACCTCAATTAAGAATGATTAGACCTATTAGAGGTCCGTTTCAAAGAACTTTATGGAAGGTTGCCATAAGCATTGGACCGAATAAATTATGGAAAGGAAATCTCACTCAAAACAATAATAGTTATACCTTTCGGTATGAAAAAACTGGACAAATTTATTTACAAGTTTGTCTTAAAAATCCATTTGTGTTTCTAATAGGAAAATTTATTATTAATCAGAATTTGACATTGGTTGAATGTCCATTATGTAAATTATTTACTTGTCTTAATTCTTCCACTTTTAATTATCCTCATGATCAAATGATGATTTTGAAGCGAAGAAAGGGATTGTGGATTCCTGTTCAAACCTCTAGGGTTTGGGAGGGATCTCCAATGGTTCATATAGTTCTTCAGATTCTTTATAATATTTTACATCGAACTAAAAGATTTATTGGCCTTTTAATAGCAGCAATATTAGGGATTATAGCTATTACAACTACTGCTGCTGTCTCTGGCGTAGCCCTCCATCAGACAATTCAAACTACTCAATTTGTACAACAATGGCATGAAAATGCTAGTAAGACTTGGAATCAGCAATTGAAAACTGATAAAAAAATCAGTGTCCATCTAGCTGATCTGAAAACTACTGTGGTTTCTTTAGGAAATCAANAGGTACAGAGACATGGCTTGCAGGCGCTGTGTGCTTCCTGCAGCCTCTGGTTCGGTCACCACCGCACTTCCTGGGTCCTCCAGTCATGGGTCATGTCGCCACTGCTCCGATGGTTCTGCCACGTCCACGAGTTCAGTCCACCGCCTTCAGATGTACTGATGGATGGCTCTCGGGGGTCGTCCTGGGCTGTGCACAGGATTCTTTGTTGGGCTATGGATGTCCCAGTACTGACTGTGGCTTAATAGGGAGAGGCAAAGGGAAAGACTCAGGTTGTCCCACTGCTGATTCTGCTTTTCCTGTAAGAGGAAGGGCCTCCACCAAAGGATGCTGATTCCGGTGAGTAGGAGCATGACACCAGCATGTCTCTGGCTCTGAACAGGCAGAACATGTGCTAGGAGAGTGGCTCTAAACCGAATCGCTGCCGGATTCGATCAGAATGGTACACACTTCCCACCTTGGACCCCAGCACCTCCTGGCTGAGTTGGATAGGCACATTCAGGTTCGATGAGCTGGTCCCCTCGAGGAGAAGGCCACAGCCAGGAAGGACAATGAGATTACATGACCATTAAAAGTGTCCCAGAGAGAGCAGCTCACCCCCACCATTAGCAAAATGAGGGAGTGAGATGTGTCTTGTTTCCCACCTATGGAGGGAATTTGCAAGGAGGTACAACAAATTTTATGAGAATGTAATGAGATAGATAATATTTTCTTCTCTAAAACCCCAAAGAGGCTGAGAAAGGCAAACTAGCATGAGGGAAGCATGAGATTAGCAACCGGAGTAGACAGGCTGGACTCCCCCTCTGAGGTGGCGTCACTTGTCAGATATTGGCTTTGAAAGGACAATGAGGGGACTGCTGACAAGATGGCAGACGCTGTGCCCTGCAATCTTCTTATGCCAACCTGCAGAGGTGCAGTGATGTTATTTATGTTCAACTCGCCTCGCTCATTTCCAGGGAATGCAAACAGGGCAGGTCTGATTCCTCGGGGAACTGCCCCTGGGGTGGGGAGACTGTGAGAACAGAAGGCTCAAAAGTTACTGAAGACGGAAAACGGCACGAGATCATCACAGGAATAAAGTGGCCTCAGGCCAAGTTTATTGAAGTTTACATGTGAGTTACCTAAAGATGAACATCCCGAGAAACACAGGACCAGATAGAGTCCCTGCCGTGTTACTGACTGACAGGGCACCATAACCAGTGCTGCACGGTGGGTTTTTACATTAAAGCCCAAAACTTGTCTGCCTGTTTAGGCGGGATGAATCTGTAATGCCACAGATCAACCAGGACTTCAGCAGGAACCGAGCTGACCTTTTCCTCTTATCAGCCATGTCCACTCCTCCCACACAGGGCAAACCCCAGACAGAGCCCCTTGTAATAAGTCATATATGGGAACTCAATCTACAGCTTCCCAGAACCATAAACAGCCACTGTCCGGCCTCACTCAGCCCTCATGACTGATGAGCAAGCATCTCCCTTGGCCTTTCTTCCTCATTTGATTTTTAAAGTATCCGAAAGATAATTTAATTTCTCCCCCAGGCAGTTCACATTACATGCCTGTATTGGCTTAATCAGCTTTTACGCATCTGCAGTCCTGAGCACTGCCCGTAACCAAGTCTTGTCTGGGGCTCTGTGATGGGGGTGAGGGGGTGAGAAAGGGCACGGATGGGACGGAAGAGGAGGTCTTTTTCCTGGACAACTTCTATTTGTCAAGCCAACAAGTTCATTTTCTAAAAGGTGCTCAAATTCATGAATCATCATGGAAAAAGAAACGAAACAAGAAGCCAGTTTTCATACATCAAACTGATAATCAGGGTGAGAATGACCACTATTGGCAAGGCCGTGGGAAAACAGGAAGTCCCATGCACTCTCAGTGGGAATGTAAATATGCACAGCTTTTTGGGGGAGCAGTGTAGTCGAGAGAGTGTCTCGGAAAACTGAGGCCGGATGGAATGATATCTATAAAGCTCTCTCGGGGGGTGTCTTGGAAAACTGAGACCTGATGGAATGATATCAGTTGTCTCCCCTGGGAGGACATGTAACAGACTGTCCTGGGACTGTGCAGTAATGTACGAAGGCATAGCATTTGTTGGAGTACAAAGGGGTCCNACGAAGGCATAGCATTTGTTGGAGTACAAAGGGGTCCGGTAATGGGAACAAGCCTTAAGGCACCCACGTATACACGGTTAATGATTCACAGTTCTGCAGTTTGCTTCTTTGAAGATTCTCAATAAAAGCCATGCGTTGACCCGATTCGGGGCTCAGTCTCTCTTAGGCTGAGTCCCTTGGTCTTGCTCTCAAATCTGACTTCTGTCTCTTGTTCTTACTCAATCTGTGTTGCCCCTCTCGTGTCCCATTTGCCCTTGCCACGCAGGACGTGACAGAGCAGTTTGGGGAGCAATATATAAATGTACAATTCACATTGGTCCTGAAATTCTACTTGTAGGAATTGATCTTAGGAGGAAAGCTGTATATACGCTCAAAGAAACATGTTAAAGGGTGTTATGGCTGAAACTGCTGGTGGCCTACCCATTCTCTATCCTCTGCCTCCCATCTGTGTATTTGGTGGTAGTACGTGCCTGACTAAAAACGGACATTTCCCAGGCTCCCTTGTCGGACAGGGAGGGCCAATGAAATGTAAGCAGAAATCACTGGGTGGGACTTGAGGGAAAGCTGTCTCACCCATCTCCTCCTTTCTTCTTTCTGTTGTCTGGATCGTGGACGTGATGGCTAGCATTCCAGCAGCCATTTTGTGACCTTGACGACGGGAACCACACACTAAGGATCAGAAAAATACACGGAGCCTTTCACTTTCCTGAAATTTTCCACATTCAATTCCAGCCTCACTACATGAGAATCCTTAACTAAATCTCTTTTTTTTTCTTAAAAAAACTTGAATGTGAGCCCACTTTAGTACATTCCTCTCAAACTGTTGAAGAACCAAACTCATAATGCAAATATTTTAGATTTCTGGAAAATAAGACACGGAGTATACAAGATTTAATGACTACAAACTATATAG